GCCCGCGGCCGCCCCCCCCCCCCCCCCCCCCCCCAACCAGCACTGTCCTTGCTCTTCTCAGTAAACAAAAATCTTATAACTTGTAGCATTCCTGTTATGTGATTCCTTCAGTACTGTCTCTATCTTGCAGTGTATATGGGGATCATATTGGAAGGAAGGCAGATGGGGATATAAATGCTGCCACTCATTTGTCAAGTATTCCTATTGTACAGGAGAAGCTGGAAAAGAAATCGCTGTAAGTATCACTTTGTTTTTGGACATTAGACAAAAATCTTATAACTTGTAGCATTCCTGTTATGTGATTCCTTCAGTACTGTCTCTATCTTGCAGTGTATATGGGGATCATATTGGAAGGAAGGCAGATGGGGATATAAATGCTGCCACTCATTTGTCAAGTATTCCTATTGTACAGGAGAAGCTGGAAAAGAAATCGCTGTAAGTATCACTTTGTTTTTGGACATTAGAACAATCAGATGCTGCTATAAAATATCTAAAATAAGACTAATAACTCAATTTTGTCTTCACATTGTGAAACATGTGTAGTGAATTTTCATGCCTTTTCTTTCATCTTCATTATTCAGAGTACTGTGTCAGACTTACCAGAGGAAAAACCTATAGAGGAAGAGTATATGACAAAATCCAAAACACTGATGGAGGTAGGTTACCTGCTCTTCCACATGTCTTTCTTTTAGAAAGGAATAACGACCTAAACAGATTATGGAAAGGAAGATGCTTACATTCTATTTATCTTGAGTTTTAAAAGGTGGAGTGGGATTGTGACTGTACCACAAAGTTGGGTGGACCATCTCTTCTCTCCTGAGTTTGCTAGGAGATTTGTAAAGTATTGGATCATTAATGTCTCCGCTCTCAGTGTTCCCAACCAAACTACTGAGAGAAAGTTATTAGACCCTAGAGATAAGTTCTTTGGATATGCATGTGCATAACTCTTAGCATTTCAGTCTAAAACTACTGCTTTTCTGCTTCCAGATACATCAAGAAAAACAGAAAGATGAGAAAAAGAAGAAAAAGAAGAAGCTTAAGAGGAGTCCAAATTCAGATAGTGAGGGTGAAGAGAAAAAGAAACATGAAAAACTGAAAAAGGTGCAGTGTTCTCAGACAGTGTGTTCTTGTTAAGAAATATCTGATCTGTATTATAAAGGTCACCAAAATCATGGTTTCTCTGGGGAGGGAGGTAAGAGGGGTGGGTGGGGGGTTCTCTTGAATTGAAATGACTTTTTGACAGAGTTATTTAGCTACTTTGAAGTAAATGGTTAGAACAATGGGTAATGATAGAAAAGTGGAACACTAACTTAATTGAAAGAGCAGGGACAAACCTTATCCTGTTCTTTTAAGAAGAACAGGATAAGGAGAGGAATAGGCTCTATCCTGCAAGTGAATAGTGTGTATGAGTAGGTTACTGAAACTGTACAAAGTCTCAATGAAGACATTGAATGGGGCCCCACAAAAGTATAGCAGTCTGCCTAAGTACTAACAATTACAGCCTTACGGGGATATGCTGTGCTTCAGCCATCTTTTGGATAAGCCACAGTTCCTGCGGAGTAGC